TTACTGTTGCGGAAAATCATATTTTAGAGTCAGCTTTGTATATAAAGCAATGATTTTGCATGCATTCTTGGGAACAGCAGAAATGACTTAGAAAAAACATTCTAAGTACAGTGTTCATTCCGTGCAATGGGGCATAAATAAAAGGTTCTCGTAAAATAGACACCTTATTTTATACCACAGAAGACAAGCAAAAAGTAATATGGGTACCCCGGTTAAAAATACATCGATAACTCTATTAATTAATACCAGTCCTGATTTAAAGGAAAAAGTTATGTGAACAAAATAAAAGTAGTCTGTACCACTAAGCATGCCTTCACGGTTTAGACTGGGAGTCCCAAAGTTTTTTAAGCATGTATTCTAATATCTTATGACGATAAGCCCCCACCCACCCCACCCCACACCGTTCTGTTTTCACTCAGCGGCTGGCCAGCGGTCCGTGTATGAGGTAAACATGGCGATCCCTTACTGAACACCGTTCTTGTCGATCAGAAAATCAAAATACCAGCATGATATTGCCTCGAAGAAGAAGCAGTTGTGTTATTTGATTCGTACTTCACATTTGAGTCCAAGCTTGGGTGACACAGGTTATTTCTTATGGTGGACTGACGAGGGGAATTTGAACACTAGTTGTGTTTGAATTGTTGGAAGAAATGGTCGCATGGGAATGTAGGAATGGTAAGTATTACGAATAATTTCACATTTTGCTGCTTGAATAGAAAGTTAAGTTTATTTTAATTGCTTTGGCATGTATTTCTGACGGTTTTAGATCTACCTGCTCGATTTGTGTCTGCGACGCTTCATGTTGATAAGTCTCTCAAAATGGCGGCCAAACCTGGAGATTGCCGAAAATTAGGTAAGTTCGTGGAGTTATAAAGTTTTCGTAAAGGTCGGGCCGCAAAGTTTTTTTCTGTAGTTACCTTTTCTATGACATCTACTTCCTAACAATGTTAGTTGGATCAGTTAAGAACGCCTCACTTTTTCAAAAATTTACCTTGAATTTGATCGGTTTTCGCGTGTGACTTAAGCGAACCGATAAGGTGTCATTCAAGTCTTCCTGTTTCTTTGATTAAAATGTGATGTTCACGAAATTCGCCTCGATGGATAAGATAGAATTGATATACATGGCTGGGGTATT